TTGTTGATCTGCAGGGAAATGATATTTATGATGCCACATTGAACCAAACAAATGTTGAGAACAACAATAACAAATTTTATATCATTCAAGTTCTAGGTGATTCTCCATTTGTTGCCTCATATGCATCTTAATTTGTTGGAAGCAAACTGCCTAGTTGACTTGTTTACCTTTTAAAGTGGTTTTCTATGCTATGGTAGCAATATATACAATAATAAATTGTTCCAATTTATTAGTTGCTAAAACAGCTGACTACTTTGATGGTGCGCCAACCTTGAGAACAACTATGAATGTTGTATTTGATTCTTCATCTTCTAGAGATAATCAGAATTCTTACATATTTGAAACTTGCTGATATTACATCATGTCATTACCCTTCTCCATATTTGTTTGGCCTGATTCTATTCATCTGGTTGTAGAGAATGATTGTGGTGGGAATTTCCTTGTTTACACTAGATGGGGTAGAGTTGGTGAAAAGGGTGAAACGAAGATCAGTGGTCCCTATACGTCTGCCAAAGATGCCACATCTGAGTTTGAGCGTAAATTCTATGAGAAGACCAAGAACTGTTGGTCTAACCGCAAAGATTTTTTTTGTCAACCAAAGCAATATGCTTGGTTGGAAATGGACTATGATGAAAATGGGGAAGGCTCATCAGTAAGTTGTTTCAAGTTGCTTGTTCTCTATTGGGACAATCATGTAGTAAATTTATTATTTCTGCATTGATGTGGAATATATTGCTCTGTATCGCAATTGTGTAAATGCATTAAACTCGATATTGTTTCCATCAACTTAGAATCTTTTGCTCTACTTTCTGCTGTTGCATCTGAGTCGAGTTGTGAAAAAATCATGCAATAACTTGTAATTTTCTATCATATGAATAAGCAGTTCGCTTTGAAGTACCATTCTTGTTTATCAAGTCGACATTGCAACAGATATAAAATGGTGTTTACTAATCTGAGGGCTTTATGAACCTCTTAAACAGATCCGAGGACAGTCCATTCTAGTACCAAAAAGTCGACCTCGTGAGACTAGGCTGGAGGTCCCAATTGCAAAGTTCATATCTCTTATTTGTGACATCAATATGATGAGGCAGCAAATGGTGGAAATAGGTTTAGCACTTTTCTTATACCATAATGGTTCTTGTCTTGATATTCATCACGTCTATTGTAACTGCTATATATTCTTGTTATTGTTGAACAGGGTACAATGCTAACAAGTTGCCACTCGGTAAATTGAGCAAGAAAACTATTTTAAAGGCAAGTATCTGGTCTGTGATTTATGCTTAAGTGTCTCATTTCTGAACTGCTTAGTTTTACCTCCATTTATTTAAATCTGTGTGGCCTTGAATGAAAAATAATTGATGAAGCATAGACCAAATCGTGTAAAGATTCTCTTAAACCTAAATTTATTACTCCCTCCGTTTCAATCTGTTTGTACTACTTTCTTTTTTAGTTTGTTTAAAAAAGAATGCCTATTTCCTGTTTTGGCTACTCTTTAATTTCAACTTTCCACATGACATGTGTAAAACCACAAGATTAAATGGCATTTTGATACATTTGACATATTTTTAATTTAAGCCCACAAGATTTAAAAGAATACTTTCATATACTCCGTGTCAAGTCAAAACATGACAAACAATTGAAACGGAGGGAAGTATCTTCAAATATTGATATTCCCTTTGTTCCAGTTACTTGATTTGCCTAACCCTGAGGGGTAGCTCAACTGGTAAAGGCCTGGGACAAAGTCCTTCAGGTCGCCGGTTCGAGCCCCAGCAGGGCCACTGGAGGCATTACAAACCGGCCGCGTCTCCAGGGCCCCGTGGAACTAACCGTGGTGGACCCGCCTTGAAACAGCGGGACCCGGTGGGTACAGCTAGTCGGGTTCGCAAAGCGACGCCCGGAAACCACGGTAAAAAAAAAAAAAAAAAAAAAAAAGTTACTTGATTTGCCTTTACCATTTCCCCCGAATTTCTGCTATATAGAATTGAAACATTCTAAGTAATATAACTTAATTCTATGAAATAATGTCTTCTTTTCTGAGATATAATTTTACCCCCACTAATATTTCCTCATCAAAGCTTGGTGTTGATTGGTCCTCTCCTGGAGTGCCGAAAATTCTCAGTCATGAGGGTATCATGCTTTACTACCCTCACCAAGACATAAATGAATCAGTAAATGGAATAATTAATGAGAGAAATAAAGAGAATTACTCTGGACTATTTAACTAAAAGTTTGTGTCTGTTTAGGGCTATGATGTCTTGAAAAATATTGCTGATGTTATAGGCCAGTCCAACAGGACACTGCTTGAAGATTTGAGCAGGTACGTTTGTTTCAAAACTACTGTGAGTTGTCTGATTATGGTCAATGATCAATGCACATCTACTTAGCCCTAACCATGTTGTTTCTGAAATTTTAGAAGCTTCAGCAGCTGTTTGTAATCATGAATATATGGTTGCTGATATTTCATCATTTTTATGTTGCAGTCAATTCTATACAGTCATTCCTCATGATTTTGGATTCCAGAAGATGTGTAAGTCATCTTAGTTCCATCTTCACCAAAGCCTCATTTTGCCTCATCCTGCTTCATCTGCTTGCTTGATCCTCCAGTCTTTCTTTTCTCCTTGTGTCCTTTTTTCCCCTCAGTTACTTCATGTAGATGGTAGTTGTTCTGTTAGTTTTGGTGTAACTCACTAATTTACTCATTGTCCTACTGACAGGTGAATTTGTCATCGACACCCCTCCGAAGTTAAAACGCAAAATTGAAATGGTGACTGATTTTTTCTCTTTTCTAAATTTGCTCATTTTCTCTTTCCTCCTGAGCATTATTCTCTATGTATGTGCATTTCAGTCTAAAGGGTAGACGTGTCTGCTTTGTATTGCTTTTGACAGTTAATTAGACTGACTGATCATTTGATGTTTTATGTCCATCTAGAAGCATGAATTTCTTATTTACTGATAGTTGGTGTTCCCTCACAAATGAGTTGGTTCTAAGTTGTCCTGCTATATGCATTTGCTAACAAAGAAAATGTTAAAAAGTTTAATTAGCTGTTGTTAGTAAAAAGTTATCTTTACAATGCAATTTTTGTTCAATGTTTTTTTACGTTTATTTTTGTGCTGCTTGTCAATTGTTTTACTTATTTCTACCTGATCCTTTTGCTGTGCTAAACTCTTGGAAACGAAAAGGTCGAAGCTCTTGCTGAAATTGAAGTCACAACTAAGTTATTGGAGGATAACACAGATATACAGGTACTGCTTTGTCGAGTCCTGTTGAAAGTATTTGCTTTAATTTTGGTGTGAAAAGAACATTCTGTTTTGGTTGAAGCTATGTTCCAAGAGATCTGGCTTTTAACACAATTTCATTTGCTTTCGCACTCAATAACTGTCTTGATGTTTAATATATGGCTCTAAATTGGCATCATCATATTGTAGGAGGATCCCTTGTATTATCAATATGAACAACTTGGTTGCAAACTTGTTCCAGTTGAAGTTGGTTCCCAGGAATTTCTCATGGTATGAAAAAGTTTTTGTGGGATCTATTACTTCATGTTTTTTTATCTTCTGTGTATAGTATTTCTTTATTCAGTGGTTGATCAGCATGACAAGTATAAATATTGTGAACTCTATTTGTTCATCTGGTCTATGCACGTCATGACTTCTAAATTATTATTCATCTCTGGAGTTTATAAAGCTGAGTGATGTTATTTTTGGTCAGATTGAGAATTACATGAAGAATACCCATGCAAAAACACATTCGAGTTATGCTGTCGATATTGTTCAAGTATTTAGAGCATCAAGAAATGGTGAAACTGAAAGATTCCAGAAGGTGAAATGCAAAGTCTCATAAGATTCATCACAACAATTTTTTTCTCTGTTTTTTAATCTTACAACTACTTCTACCCAATACTGATGTAAAATCTGTGAATTCTCTGGAAGCAGTTCTCTGATACGAGTAATAGGATGCTTTTATGGCATGGTTCTCGCCTCACAAACTGGGCTGGCATTCTTTCACAGGGTTGTTTGCTTATTCTCTTGTTCTAATTTCTTCAAGCATGTTTTACGTCATCTTGTAATTACCTAATGATTGATTCCTGCTTGATACACTAGGTTTACAAATTGCTCCTCCAGAAGCACCTTCAACAGGGTACATGTTTGGGAAAGGTGTTTATTTTGCTGATATGTTCTCTGAGAGTGCAATTTATTGCTATGCTTCATCGGCTACTAAGAATGGTGTGCTTTTGTTGTGCGAGGTTCGTTAGCCTTCCAATCCAGCCCAAACTTTGTTCCCCTCTTATATGTTTATGTCGTTCCTTTAGACAAGTCCATTTTTGTGTGCCACAATTTCTCTATATCTAGTTTTCCATTTCACATGTTTTCTTTTTCAAGCTTTGAATAGGGAGGGGAAGCCCTGAAGTCCAGAATTTAACGACATTTCTACTTCATTTACAGGTTGCTCTTGGCGACATGAATGAGCTGTTGTCAGCCAACTCCGATGCTGATAAGTTGCCTTTGGGAAAGCTAAGGTTTCATTCTTCTCATACTTATTATGTTAGATATAGAAAAACCTGTTTTTAGCTGGAAAAGAATGATTCATGGAAATATCTTGTGTTCTTGATATTGCAGCACAAAAGCAGTCGGTGCCACGGCCCCAGATTTTAAAGAAGCTCAAATACTTGAAGATGGTGTCATCGTTCCTTTGGGAAATCCAAAGGAGAGACCAAATCATGAGGTTTACGCTACTCCTGTTTATGACATTGTTTTTACTTCACTATTTTCCTTTGTCTCGAAGCATTATATGCATACGATGTTCTTGATTGTGAAATTCTGAATGAGAAATCCTACTTTTTGTGTTAAAATGAACTTCAATTTCTGCTGCCCAGTCCCATATATACTAAACATTGTCTTAAATGTTTTTGCAGGGTAATTTGTTGCATAATGAGTACGTAGTTTACAATGTGGAACAAATAAGGATGCGCTATGTTATTCAGGTTGAGTTCAATTATGAGATATAATCATATTGTAAATATAATTTCATCTTTTTAAGTTTCGAGTATTAGTAATTTCCTTTAGGCATTAATGTGTCATGTAAATATTGATACTTTTGAATCATCTACACGATTTTAGCTACGTGTAGTGAGTTTGTTACCTTGTTTCTTTCTGTAACAATAAAATCGTTCATGTTTTCCTATTATCCTGTAGAGCCTGCAAACATATTTTTTCTTAAATCAATCCAACGGGAGAACAATCATCTGGTCCACACCCCGCCCTATTGCCATCTCTAAAACCATGTTAGTCTTACTCCTCTCATCTTGTCCACTACCACTTTGTCCCGGATATCCACATTTCTAATCCTTTCGCTCCTAGTATGTGCGCTCATCTCTATCACTTGCACCTTCTGAACCTGAGAGTTCTTAACGGGCCAACACTTCACCTCCAACAAAGTCGATCTAACCATTACTCTATAAAACTTATCTTTAAGTTTTGGTGTTACCTTTTTGTCACACAAGACGGGGGATGCAAACCTCCACTTCATCCATGCTGCACCAATACGACTCATGACATCATCATTGATCTCTCCATCGCCTTGGATCAGAGACCCCATACACTTAAATCTATTTCTCACAGTGATAACTTGAGTATCAAGTCTCACTTCCACACTTGCCTCATGCGTCACATCACATTCTCAACCTGAACCCTTTAGACTCTAGAGTGTGTCTTCACACCTCCAATCTATTGTTAATTCCATCGCGAGTCTCGTCGATCAAAACAATTTCATCTGCAAATAACAAACATCAAGACACCTCACCCTGAAGAAGCCATGCCAATTTACTCATTACCAAGGCAAACAGAAACGAGCTCAACATACGTAGATCCTTGGTGCAACCCCATTTTGACGGGAAAGTATTCTGAGTCTGTTTTCATTATTCTTATCCAAGTCTTGGCTCCATCATACATGTTCTTTTATCGCTCAAATGTAAGCCATGAACATACCTTTAGAACCCTGAGGGGTAGCTCAGCTGGTAAAGGCCTGGGACAAAGTCCTTCAGGTCGCCGGTTCGAGCCCCAGCAGGGCCACTGGAGGCATTACAAACCGGCCGCGTCTCCAGGGCCCCGTGGAACTAACCGTGGTGGACCCGCCTTGAAACAGCGGGACCCGGTGGGTACAGCTAGTCGGGTTCGCAAAGCGACGCCCGGAAACCACGGTAAAAAAAAAAAAAAAAAAAACATACCTTTAGACTCTAAACCTCGCGAAAAGGACTTTTTTTGTAGGCCCTTTTAAATGTTTTAAGAGTTAAATATTTTAAAATTATAAATATTAGTATATATTTTTTCATATCAATCTGAAAAAATATATAACAAAGTTTATATAATCACACTCTAAGAAATACTTTTAACCCTATTACAGAGAAACAAAGTAAACATCCTATACTATGTTAGTGTCCTCTGAACTTGCTCTTTAAAAGCATACTCCGGAGCTCGACGGCGTCAATCTGGTCTGCTTGATTTTCCGGTTGATAATAACCGGTGACGGGGTGAGGTACCCATGGTGATTTGGGAGGTGATTGATCTTCATCTCCTCCTTTCAACTTCATCATCATCATCATCATGTTGCTCAACTCACTTCCTCTTCTTCCTCTGCCTGACGCTGCCACTGCATATCCCTTCCTACAATATGCAAATCCAAATAAAATCATTTTTTGGAACATGTTTGAGTGAACGAGAAAGAAAGGATTTATGATGAAACAAGAGTTTTTACTTTAAGAAAAATCAAATATAAGAATGTCTAAACACACAAAGAAGTAATTAGTGAGAGCTAATATACATAAATGATAAATCTATTTTTGACGTATCTATAATGGATTCTCTTTAGATTGAAAATGATACTAATTAATGACCTGGTTACAAGAAGAGAGAATCGATCGGACAACAACTTAACGTTGGAAAAAGAGCGAGCCATATATATAGTTATCAAAGTGATATTATGCCAAAGAAAATACTGTATATGATAAGAGTTAATTAGAAGAATGTTTTGTTGATTTCTTGGAAATTTTTGGATGTGAAGAAGCATGGTATAAGAGGTGCCCATATTTATAACTAGAGGAAACTAAGGTGTTTGTGTTTGTGAAAAATAAAGATGATTTTTTGGAAGAACAAATAATCCTAGATATTTAGTAGAACTTTCTAGAGTTCTGTAGAGTGATATCTTAAGTATATGATGTATCTAAGAATTGTGTAGATGTTCTAGAGAATTAAATATTTATAGTGAATTATAGAAATATCTAGCTCCTTGTTAGATAGTTAGAAGATAAGGATATCTAGATTAGAATAACTTCTAGAAGCATCACAAGTATAAATAGGGGTGACATTAGGCATTTGTAAGTAACCCAAAAATAAAGACATTTCAAAGCATTGATCAAGAAGTGTTCCAAAATCTTATTTTTCCCTTCTATCTTCCTTTTTTTTTAGTTGAATCTTTCAATCTTAGTTAACGATCCTGGGCTAGCTGACTATCTCCAAATTAGTGTTGAAATGTGAGGAAAAGGTCTACTTGCTTCTGACATTTTGAATGTCATATTTTCTACTTTCTTGAAACACCAAATTTTGATCCATTTATATTTGATTTAAATAAAATAAGTAATAAATATAGTAATAATTTTATTATATCATTTTCAATTACATATATTCTTTTAGTTTCGATTTATATGATAATACTGTTGATTAGCGAAAAGAAATAATGAAAGGATTTATTTTGACTCCTATAAACTCATATTCACAATGTACGTACATCAGAAAAAAGAAAGAAAAAGAATATACATAAGAAACCATGGATTGAGTCTATTTTTGGTTTTCTACCTTATCTTTTATCCTCTTATTTCTGAAAAAAATAGATAAGACAGATAATAAAAACAAAATTTTGAGTTATATTGTATAGTTGATAGCCCATATATTTGCATTGCTGCTGTGGTATTGGGAGTTTTGCTGTGGGAGCTGAGAACACATATATATAAAGCCTTCTGACATCAACTAACAGAATAATACACTGAAAATAGTCAAATAATCTAAAAATAAAAATATCTTCATAGTTTTCTTTATTTATCAACAAAAAAGAGAGATTATGTTAAATTAAAGTTTTGATTTTGTCTCATTTTTTATTATATTAATAACAATATTCATACTCTATAGATTATGCAAATCTTGGGGATTAAAGGAATTTGTAAATGAATGCAATTAGCAAGTTGGGAGTAACTAGTAGGTTGTTTTGTCAAACTTCTAAAATACTATATTTAAAATTAATTATTATATTTAGTGTCTAATAAATATGACTATATGAGTATTTATAACCAATATTTTATAAAAATGTCACTAAAATCTTCAACGTCTCTGAATATAATGACATTAATTAATTTAATTATAGCTAAATATTTTGCTAATTTTTTTTGTATTATCACTAAATATCTCTTTTATTATAGTTTTATGACTTTTGTCTGCTTTTAACTTATAACTACTTGACTTAAAAAACATTTCAAAGATTTTTAATAAATACATAAATAAACCAAGAAAAATTACTCATAAACTAATTTAACCAACTTATAGGCTTAATCGAAAACCATCCTAATTTTCATTTGTCTGGCATATGAATGAATTGTTGGCTCAAAGATCGAACCATAACTAGACTAGTAATGCTAAATTTAGTTCAAACAACTTCATATAAACATCCATTATATATATATATATATATATATATATATATATATATATATATATATATCTAATAGATAAGTAAGTGCTAGGTTTTGCTCTGATTTTCTTATCATATTTGAGTTTTACTTTTCTCTTGAATGAAAGTTTAAGGTGTACCAAAATTTTTTAACTTTTCCCGAATGAAAAATATAGTTTTTTTTTTCATATTTGGTTATTCTTTTCTTAGAGGAAACGTATAGAACTCTATAAATTAAAATCCCTCTTCTCATACCTGAACATAATAGCATCCACAATGCAGAAGTTTAAGAGTTTTGCTTAATTATGGGAAGATTTTTTTTTCTTTTAACAGTTTTAATATTTTTCTTTTTTTATTAGGTTTTCATATGTAGGCCGATTGACTAAACCATATAATAATACTCCCTCTGTCCATAATTACTCGTCTACTTTTGAATTGACATACCTATTAAAAAACAATGATCGAGATAGTGAATTTACAATTTTACCTCTATTAATTATGAAGTAGATGAATTAAGAGAGTGGTTGGAGACTCAATTCTCTATTTTACTCTCCAAATATAGAGAATGGAGAGTAAAATAGAGTGGGGTTGGAGATGGTCTAATAACTAATGATTTTCAAGAAGTTCAACCTTTTTCAAAGTAATTGATTGAGAGTATAATAGGTGAAAAAAAATTGTCGTTTCTTGATTGTCAAAATAGACAAGTAATTAGGAACAACTAAAAAACGAAAAGTGGACAAGTAATTAGGGATAGAGGGAGTATTATGTTTTTAGTATAAATTTTTGTCATCTAATTTATTACCGTCTTGATTTGCAATTATAAGCTTCCGTATGACGCTTTGATATAAAAAGAACAAAGTATTATATATTACTGAAGGTTAACTTCTTTATACAAAGAAAAATATTTTTTGCACTATCAAGTCATAAACAAGTAAAGTTCATAACCAAAAATATTAGATCGATTACTTATTACAACACATTAAAAAACTTAGACAACGCAAACATTACTCTTTATATTGAAAGTGCACACAAAAGTTACACATCCTTATTATTATGATAGCATAATTATTAAGGCCACAAGAAGTGATCCTTGCTATCAATAATTCTTTCAAGTACTTATTGAAATTATGCAAACATACCAACAAAACCAACATTATATTTAGTTAATCGACTTCATAATTCAATCAGACCAAAAGATGTCCATCAAACCCCATTGAGGATCTTTTTTAGAAATACCCAATTTTTTCCACACAGCTTCAGAAGCATCAACAATATTATTTTTACACCCTCTACTTGTGTCACATTCATCAACAACCATAGCTTGTGTACTCATCCCATTATTTGCGTAGATATTAATATTTTCGAAACAACGTCTCCCTTTACTATACCATCTAGTCGATAAAGCCACTACTGGAATCGAGTCATCGTAATATTTGCCACTACATTCCGATGGACCACCACCCGAACCACCTTTTTCGAAATCATTGATAGTTAGCTTTGCCTTTATACGATCGTTTGGTTTGTAATTTAGAGCCTTCACCATTAATAGTGTGTTACTATAAGCTAATAAAAGAACAAAATGAAATAATATGAGGTAATTGTTCATTTTTGCACTTAGGTGTAAGTTTGAGAATTTTATTAACTTGGTGAAAAGTTGATAAATTTTTGTGCTATTTATAGAAAGATTTGCCGGCCAATAATATGTGGAATATAAATAGATCAATTAAAAAACATAATGGGGACAAGAATACTGACAAGAAATGAATGACACAAGAACAATAACAACTTTTACTAGGAAATTAATGTTTTGGATTTTATTAGACAAACCAAATCATGATACAATTAAAATATGTTGCAACTCCATTGTTTATTTGTTTTTTTTT